TTTTTCATTTAACGCCCTAACATTTTGTAGTAGATAATTTTTGACGGACACGAAGCTGTAATTTTCAATTTTCGACAGTCCACAGGCGGAAAGTTTTTCAAATTTGAATAAGTGGCACAAATAAATAACATATGATTAATGACAGGTCATGTCTTAATAGATGATGATACAAAAAAATATAAATAACAGTAAAAAAGTTATCCAAATATGTCCAATTAAAAAAAAAACTCAAAAGTATTAACCACATTAATAATTTAATTCAGAGGCGACTAGTTTCGGTTAAATGACCATCACCGGGTTTGTAAGAAAAGCATACAATGTAATTGGGAAGAAACAATACTAGTTATAAAAAAAAATTATTTGACCATTATTTTATTTTGTTTTATAATTTTTGCTTTATCAACAATGAAATAAATTTAATTAGTTGAGGTCTGCGCTCCCATAAGTTGTTTTTCTTGTGTTAGGCGGAAGGGAAGCTTTATTCGAATTAGTCAACTATGTCAGAAAAGCAGAGAAGGCATAAAAGACTCTAGGGACATAATAATTAATTGACGTTTTTTATGTTTCCGCGGTCGCAACAAAACCGGCAAAAACAAAGCAATATATAAATAAGGTCAAAAGGAATAAATGTTGAGGGTTGTTTCGAGTAAAAGATCATTCCACTTCTACAGAGTCGGACTTGAGTCAGAAGAAAAAAAATAAATTCGACTAAGTGTAAATAACTATTCTGTGAACAAATAAATTATCCTTTTATCCATAAAACGTGAGGATAATTTTATTTAGAGTACAGTGAATAATTCTCATTCCTAGGTATTGTTAAATAATTAGAGTGGTAATGTCCATTTTATTTGAAATATTGGAATTTCTTTAGTATTTATCACAAAGCACATAGATGTTCCACGTGAAATACCAAGGTCACAACCGACAACTGACATTTCTTATGCTATTGACTTCATTTTTAATTTTTATGGGTGAAAAACTTCACAAAAGAATATATATTTTTGGTTATTCTCATTTTTCCAAAGATGTGACGTAAAAAACTCCAGCGTTACCTCGTAAATTATGTACAAAAATAGTGTTCAAAATTTCAAAAGGATAGTTGCAGTAGTTTTGAAGTTATTAGGGGCACCGACTTTGAAAATGTGAGTTGTGGGAAAAAAGCTTCAAAGTTTTGAAAACTAAAAAATTTGGAATAAAACGTTTATAAGCGAGTTTTATCGGCTTATCTCACACTAAATCATCGATGCCAGGTCCATAAAGGATGTTGCTATCATCCATGATGTCTAAAGCATCTTTTCGTTCCTGTCTACGATGAATCCTCATTCATGAGAGCTTGATCCACTACTGATTCACATGTCTTGCATGGAAGTTAGTAAAGCAAAAGAACCTGTCAGGTCAATGCTACACTTAATTATATACAGTATAGATATAAACAGGTTTGTATTTGTGTAGGTAGGCAAGATAGGAGGTAAAGCTAGGGATTATATACAGAGCGAGACAGCTGTCAGGTAACAATAGCACGCTCAGGCCGGGCAGGTGTTTCTGATGCGCTGAGTCATGTATGAGGCGCGGTTACTCAAACCGCTGTATCTTCGTTAGTTTTGCTCCGATTCATCTCAAATTTTCACACAGTATTCTTGAAAGGTTCTCCATTCACAGAGTAAAAAAAAATGCAAAAAAAGTTTCAAAACTTTACCCCCTCTTAATGTGAATCGACAGTTTGGGGGAGGGGTCCGACACCTCCAGCATGTCGCTGTAGCATCCCTAAGGAAGTTGATACATGTATGTCCGACAAATTAAATATGAATAACAATGTAATTTTAAATCATATGTAGTAAATGTCAGAAAAAAATTGATCACGTAGCATACTTCATATATATAATAATGCAACCCATGCTTTGATTATTATTATTATTATTATTTCTTATTTTTTTATGTCATCGGCTTCAACTGCTAAGGTTATTTCACCTCGTGTTCTATGTAGGCTTTGTTACTGTTTCCCAATGCCACTTTAGGAACAGCACTGTTAATTAGAACCCAATAGTGAATGGTCGAGTGGGGAATCCTACCAAGGCATCAGAATTAATTTTAAATAATTAAATTAAATTAAAAAATCCCGGCCAACGGTGGGATTCGAACCTGGGATCCTTATTTACTTCAATTTTTATCTATTTAATTTTCCATCTTTTTTCTCCGTTTGCTTTCTCTAGAATTATGTTTTCTTACATTTGTTGCTACCATACGGTCTATACATGTCATGCTACTTATCCATTTAATTTCCAAAATACTTTCTTTCCTTTGTATCTTGTTCATTCACTTTTAATTTTTCTTCAATTATTTTTATTTTGTTCTATTTTCTTACTACTCTGGTCTATCTTATTTATCATATCCTCTATTTTATTCAAATCTTGTATTATATTTTCCTCATCACTCTGAACATTTTCAATACACTCATCTTAGTTTTGATAGACTCTTTTTCTGTTCCCACTGCTTCTTCTCCTTCCTGATTCTCTTTAACATTCCCTTCTGTGCTTTCATCACTTTTGCTTTGAAGTGGTTTTTCTTCCACATTAGGTGCACTTATTTGCAATGTGCCTCCTTGTCCTATATCTTCCCCAACTTCTTCTTCAATTCCATATTTTTTCATTATGCTACTTAATACTGTTTTATACACCACAACACTTTCCCTTAAGCAACCACACTTACTTCTTATTTAATTATATTTTATTTTCACAACTATGTCATTTTTTACAGTACCACTTGTCAATTTGGCAGCTTTACTGTTATTTTACTGCCCCACGTTGGCAACGGCATTTGTTGTGATTATTACCAATATCTTCCTTACAAACACACCGAATACTTAACTGGACAAGCTCTTTTATCATCTTCACACGTTATCAGAACATCGGATTGTCTTTCTTTCATGGGGGTTCAGTTAAATCACAATGTTTAACACTTCTATTCAGTTTATTTTATTTTACTTTATTTTGTTTTAATTTAATTTATTTTACTAAGTTTATTTTAATTTGCAGCGTCCCTATTCAGTAAGATAAATAGTGTCCAGCATGGCTAAAGCTTTGTTTAAAATATCTGCTAACAGCCTGTTACATTCGTTGCTAATTCAACAGATAATGCTTAATCGAAACTGACACTACTAGTGCATTTGCTTTGTTTATCGTTTCAAAGAATAACATACTGTAACTGAACCATGTAGAGCAGAGCCAATGCCACTGCCATAACCGGAGACATCAGCGAATGTCAAGCAGACAGAATTAAATTCCAATTATGCGAACGACTAGCTCGCTTTAATTAACACATGCATACACATTAGATTATACCAATTATAGTAAAAGGCGGTTTATCTTTGTAATTGTGCGCTATCTCTTACGATGCGAGCAGGCTTGGGTGTTTGTTTCTCTCCAGATCGCGGTACAGTAAGGTAAGGGTAGGAATACGCAGTGGCGGCTACATGAGTGCCAAACGTGAGACCGAGTTCAAATTATAGAATTATATAACAACTAGATTTTAGATTAGATAGCGAAATTGAATTGGGCCAATCACATTAGTGATTGATAGTTTGCTTTTCCTGAAAATTTCCGTAAAATAATTTATCGTCCTAATTATATAAAATCAACGCAGGAGTACCTCAAATCTTAGCTTTAGATTCTAGTATTTCTACTACATCTCAACAAGCCAATTGTAAGCCAATTTTTTCTAAGATTTTTCTACTTTATTTAAGATTTTTACGATTCAGTTTTCGTTCTAACCTGATGCAATTTCTTTTATCTGTTATGATTCATCCTGCTGTACATAAGCAGACACGTAAATCCTAAACGGTAAGACGCCAATAATTAATGACAAATGACAAGTAAGAAGAAGAAAAGCAGAAAATAAATTAACCTAACCTGACCTAACCTCCATTTTTATTGCACGTACGCCGCACGGGAATTTTGTTTCGGCATTTTTGGTTTTTGTTTTCATTTTGAGGAAAAATCAAATCGTAAGTATACTAGTAATTTTATTTGGTTATTGGGTGTATTTTTGGGGTAATGTTTGTTTGACATTTTTGAAAATCAATTACCAATTATTTTACTGCTTAGTCAGTTCAGTAGCCTCCTTTAGGTAGTAGATAATTTAGTTATCATTATCAATATAATATAACTGTATAGGTAACAAACAACCTAACTTCAGGTTTAAACTAATGAACTACTAGTTCCAACTACTGAAATGTCCAAGAAAAGCGAAGTCTGAATTCATTTTATCAAAAATGAGAATGGTGGAAGGTGCAAACATTGTCAAGTAGATGTTAAAACTAAAGGCAACACTACAAACCTCAAAAATCATTTATTTAGAAAACATGCACATATAGGAAAATTATTCGGAAAGTCTTCGGGAGAAGTAACAAAATTAACTTCTGGTGGTAGTAGACGTCGTAGCAAAAGTGAATGTGAATATGTTAATATTTTTATGTATCTGTAGTTCAATGAACGTAATTTGTTCACATTAGTGCATGAAACTCTATTAAATTCTTATTGCTGTTGTTTTTCTCATTGAAGTTATTATCTGATATTTTATACGTGTTGTTTTTTAGATGGATTTAAATGTCGATGAAAACATTTCTTCTGCATCTAAGGAGAATGAGCCACAAAATATATTACTTCAAAAAGAAGATATATCGGATTCTTCGTCTACCTATAGCAGCTTTGTGTCGACACTGTCGACAGTAGCTACTAATAATACTAAACATACACAACCGGGAATAGAAACTAAGTAATATAAAAGATTATAAAGGTATATCATGATTATGATTCTGTTTCTGTTTGTGGTGAAAATTTTTTTTTATTATTACAGACGGTGGAATCAAAGCTGGAAAGATTTCTAATGCTATCATTTATATGTTAGCAAAAGACAATTTGCCACTAAATACTATTGAAAAAGAGGGATTCAAGAATCTTATGAAAGTTACCGTTTCCCTTTATAAGATTCCTGGGCGATTAAAAATGACAAATATGGTAGACGAAAAATATAATATTCTTTCATATAAAATGAAAGAAGTAATTAAAAATGTGACAAATATTTCTCTTAGCACCGATGTGTGGACTGATACCCTCAACACCAGGAGCTTTTTAGGTCTAACATGTCATTTTATTCATGGAAATTATTTAAAATCGGTGTCAATCGGTGTCAAAGAGTTAAACCAAAGTCACACCTCCAATTATCTAGAATCCGTATTGAAGAGTTTATGTGACACATGGGGCATTAATGATAACAAAATTGTTGCTGTAGTGACAGACAATGGCGCGAATATAAAAAAAGCAGTTGTCGACGCTTTTGGAAAAACCAAGCATCTTCCATGTTTTGGTCACACTATCAACTTGGTAGCTGCTAAACCATTTGATAGCAGCACTGATATTAAAGAGTTCGTTACTCCAATCAAAGACATTGTACGATACTTTAAACATAGTGTGGCAGCCTCAGATGAATTGAGAAAGTGCCAAGATATGAGACAAGCTTCCTTGAAACTCATACAATCTATAAGTACAAGATGGAATTCGATGTTTTATATGATTGAGAGATTTGTAAATCTTTCGGAAAAAGTGGCAGCTATTCTACTTAAAAACTCAAGTTAACTCTATGTTAACTGCAAGTCAGCTAGAAACTGCCCGGGACTTAATAACAATACTTAAACCCTTGGAAAGTATTACCAGAGAACTTTCAGGAGCAAAGTATGAAACTGTAAGCAAGGTAATACCAATAATTTATTGCTTACGAAAGGAAATAAATTCTGTGCAGTCCAAATCACAGGAGAAGGTACTAAAAAAATACTTTTGAAGAAAATATCCAGGAGATTTGGATCAACTGAACAAGTAACAAGTTTAGCTATTTCGACTGTGTTAGATCCCCGTTTCAAAAAAAATTATTTCGAAGATAAAATTGCCTGTTCTCATGCAGTGACAAAAAATGAAAGATGATAACGCATTCTTTGAAGAGGATGAAGTACCTGAAGAAGTAGATGCACCTGGGGAAAAAGCTACTAGTTTATGGAGGCACCATGATACTTTAATTAAAGTGCACCGACCACAAGTGCACAGTAATGACAAAGCTGCTGAAATTACTTTTTATTTAAACCAACCATTGGAATATTTGAAAAAAACAAACCCCATTAAATTTTGGAACACCCAAATGTTTGTGAACTTTCGTAAAATAGCTGTACGATACTTCTGTATTACTGATACATCAGTACCATCAGAAAGGCTTTTTTCAGAAGCAGGCCAAATCCTAACCGAAGACAGAAGCAGGCTGACTCCTGAAAGATTTGATAGCCTGTTGTTTTTGAATTGTTTGGAGATAGAAGATTGGTGTTTAGTTTAAAATGAACAATAAAGTAAACTTAAATTGTGTTAATTTTTTTACAAGCTAAAACAAAAAAATCGAAAAATCAATTTTTCATAGATCGATTTTAATATTAACGATCTTTTAGCGGATCGATTTTTAAAAGGGCGATTTAGATCGATCTAAAAAATCGATATTTTTTTTTTGAAAACTCGACATCCCTAGTCAAAAGTCGAATTTACTAAATAAGATAAAAACGTGATAAAACCACATATTTTTGTAGCTTAATAACCGGTCCGTTGAATGAGATCCACTGCTGTCACTCAGGTGGTCACCCCTTCCCTCTCCGGAAGACCTAATCCAGTCGTTGTCTAAGCTGCATGTCGTCGAGTTCGACACTTACATTTTTTGTTCACTGCACTCGTGTTTAAATTGTGCCTTGGTGTGATAAGTTATGGAAAAGAATAATTAAGAACATGGACGTAGAAGGTATATAGATCATTTTAACATAGCAATTAATTAGTTATTGTTTGTTATGAGTGTTTAAAAAAAATAAGCAACATGAACGAAACATTTGAGATAATTTGTACAAAATATTAAATCAATCGTGTTTAAGTTTATTTGTCAAGTGTTGTCAAACCTTTATTTTATGAATAACAAGTTATTTAGGATATGTTTTAGTAAATACAATAAAAAGTCGCCGCGCCTACGTACGCCATTTTGATTTTCGATGATTTTAAGATCGTAGTGTAAAATGACACATGTGTAGGTTATATTTGACTTCCTAATGTTCTGTTTGTTATTTTCAGATATGGCAGAATCAAATATTAGTTTTACTAGGAGAACTAGGAGAACTTTGTACAGTTGCCAACGTTTAGTGCAGAAGTTACACATAAACTGGGGCGGCCAACCAAATCCTTTAAAAACTTAAGTAAGCGTAGTTAGCGCCGAAAAACAAGTGATATACGGTCACAAATATCTGCTGAAGAATTACTTTAAGTGGCTGGAGTCAGTCAACGCGCTATTGGAAACACTGATGCCTCAGTAATGATCAAAGAAATTGTAACATCGCCATAAAGGGCTTCAAAAATACGCAGATGTTACAGTTTATCCCAAAAACAAATAAGTGCAAAAAACCATACGCCACAAGAGGCACTGTCAATTTTTGTAGAAGGTGACTTCACAAAAAAGGCAATGGAAAATCCTTTTTCATGCTAATTTGAGAATCTATCCATGTTACTCATTAATACAAAAGGCAAAAAAGGATTGCTACCCCAAAGAAGAGACAATACACGTCACTGAAACGTGCATAGAAATCCAACTGCAAGGATTATTAGATCACACCTTGAAGAGGTGATAGAAACTTTGTCAAAGGAGGAACGAATAAACATGGAACAATATCAAAATGATGAATCACAGTCGCAGTTAAAACAAAAATTCCAAAACTTCTCAGACAGTGATGCTAATATTTTCCAAAGTTCCCTAGTTCCTTTGCGACTAATCGTGAAGGTAAATGACATAATGAAAATACTATGGCAAAATCCAGTTCCATCTTCCATACGATTTTGTAGACTAATCCGGATCAGATTTGTCAGTGAATCAAAATATATCACCAAAAAGGAGATAGGATATGTTAATGATCAATTAAAGACTATGTCAAAAACTGAAATCATTGCTCCTGGTGGAATTGTAAAAATAAGTCATAGAATGCTGTTCACAATGATTGACGGCAAGGTATGCAATGCTGCAACTGACACTTTGTCAACCATGCGCTGTTATATTTGTGAACAGAACTCAAAAGATTTTAATAAACTAAAGAAAGTAAATGTTGAAGCATTACAATACGATTTTTTGAGTCCATGCTCCACCTCGCCTATAAGCTTCCGTTAAAAAAATGGCAGGCATGTACACCAGCAGAAAACAAAACTGTTAAAGAAACGAAAGAGTGAATACAAAAGGATTTTAGAGAACAAATGAGATTGCTAGTGGACGTACCTAAGGCAGGATACGGTAACACCAATGATGGAAACAAATCACGAAGATTTGTTGCAGACCCAGATACGTCTTCTCGAATTAGTGGCATTAATGTGGACCTCATCAAGCGATTTAGAGTAATTCTAAAAGAAATTTCAAGTGGATTCACCATAAATGCTGAAAAGTTTGCTGCTTATGCCCACACAACAACAATGTTGTATATTGATTTGTATGGATGGCATCCTATGTCACCTACAATTCACAAAGTATTGATCCATGGAACTCAATTAATAAGACACGCAAATTTTACCTATTGGTCAATTAACAGAGGAGGCGGCTGAGGCCCATAATAAAAATTTCAGACGATTTTTCAAGAAAATTTTCTAGAGAAGACGGATCAACTTTCCTTTAGCCGAAATCTGTTAGGCAAAAACTGTTGCCATGATAACAATTGTGATGGCTATAAGTAAACAAAAACCCAAATCTCGTGGTGGGAAAATAATACATAGTTGCCAAGTTATAGATCATTTAATGTTCACTTTAGTTTAGCCGAAATTAGTCATGGAGAAACTGTTAACATGGAAACACTTGTCATGTCAACGACTAAACAAAAACCCAAATCTCGTGGTGAGGAAATGCGTAGTTGCCAAGTAGTGGTTAGTAGGTGGGTGGAACGAATTTCGAAACGTCGGCCGGGCGCGCTCGCTTCGCTTGCTCTCCTCTGTACTTGTTAGAAGGTGGGTGGAAGGAGCGTAGCGTAATCTTATGGAGAAACTGTTGCTATGGAAACGCTTGACATGCTAACGACTAAATAAATCTCTTAGTGAGAAAATGCTTAGTTGCCAAGTTATAGATGGTTTCATTTTCACTTTAGTTTAGATTAGGATGTATGTTAAGAGTTACAATAAATATAAGAGGCAACTACGCATTTCCTCACCATCAGATTTAGGTTTTTGTTTAGTCGACATCACGACAAGTGTTCATGTGGCAACGAGTTCTCCGTAACCGATTTCAGCTAAACTCAAGTGAAAATTAAATGATCTGTAACTTGCCAGCTATGCATTTACTTACCACGGGTTTTGGGTTTTCTTTAGTCGTTACCATGGTAAGTGCCTCTATGGCAACAGTTTATCCGTAACTGATTACAGCTAAATTAAATCATCTGTAACTTGGCAACCACGCATTTCCTTACCACGGGATTTGGTTTTTTTAGTCGTTATTATGTCAAGCGTTCCCATGGCAACAGTTTCACCATAACTGATTTCGTCTAAACTAAAGTGAACATTAAATGATCTACAAAATGACAACAATGCATTTCCTCACCACGATATTTGGGTTTTTGTTTACTGGTTACCATGGCAACCGTTTCCACAATTTTTACGTAACTGATTTCGGTTAAACGAAATTTGACCCGAGAAGACTGCAACAGACACATTATGAATAGATTGTTATTAAGTTCAGATCCTTATTTAAGTTCAATCAAACCAAAGCAGCAAAATAAGAAAAAAATATTTTCAAAAGAAGCACTTGATCTCATGATCGCAATTGCACCGCCATCTATGCCATCAACATCGACGGATGAAAATATAAGCTACGAAAGTATTGAGGAAAACGATGAAGATGAAGAGTATATTTAGGTAATAGTTTTATAAACTAAAGTGAAGAACAATTTTAAAAAAATTGTTTTTGCAATCTACGTCCTTTTTTTTATTATTATTAAAGACTACATTATAAAAAATACCGTTTTTCAAAAAAATGCCATGAATTAATTTTGACCTGAATTTGTATGAAAATACTCCTATGTGCAGCGGAAGAATTAAACCACAGTAGATGTGGTTAATATCCAAAGGAGAGAAGCAATCAAGTCAAAGAAATGTTATAAAACAGCAATTTCCTTTGTTTATGGTAACATTAGAAAACGGCTAAGACATTAAAAGAATTTACAAAATTAAGAGAAGTCCAAAGTTGCTACTACAATTCAAACGGTGCCAAAGATATGGATATACCAAATGTTTTTACCAGTGTATGTCAAATGTGTTAAATGTAATCCATCCTCAAAGAAAATGGGAACTACCAGCAGTTAACCTTCGAGGTACTGAATAATTACATTTGATAATCGATTTTTAGAGATAGTGATGAATGAATTTTGCAAAAATATAAAATTTATTATTAATCGCGGCTGGTTTTATTGTGTACCTCTTTTCATTGCTTTAAGTTAGCATGAGATAATATTAAAATTATTTTCAAGCAAATTAAACAAATATAAAAGTTTAGATTCACCCTACTAACGAAATACCTAAAAAGCAATTCCTAATTTTATTTGAGATATTTTTATATAAAATATAAAACAAGGAGAGTGAAAATTATTAAGGAATGTCACTGATTCAGATCGGGTGAAGGTGGGCTTTCATAAATTCAGCGAGGATATTAACAAGAGCACAAATTATAACCCTATCTCGGATTTCTGCGTCTCGGTATTTGGTACGGAGGATTGGTAGGGTGACAGGTTAACCTTAATAACTATTGTTTAAGATCAAAGGAATATAGCTCAAAAAGGAATATAATATAACCCAATGATAAGCCCTAGAGTACGAAATTTTAATATTCTACAGAAATGTTTTGTTTGGTTAATTCATAGATTATAACAATAGTAGTTTGTGTAACAAGAGTGGATAGGGACAATCCACTCGAATTGTACAGTATATTTTTTTACGACCCACTAATGAAAACCTACAAATTTATTTTAGGTTAATAACTAATTTTAATATAATTTATGAATTTTACTAATTTATAAAATAAAATTAACATGAAAAAAAAGATTTAATTCAATTAGTCCCCAGCCCAGATTCGAACCCGGGTTTTTCGTGTGGCACTGTCACTTTTAGGATTTTAGTTTTAATAGTAATTCAATCAGTTTCAAATAGTTTGCTTAAAATTTAATTTTTTTTTAAATGTGGACCAAATAAAAACAAAATGCAATTATTTATCGATTCTATACAAAAATATCTAATTTTTATGTATATTTAATCTCAATAACTAAAAAATATACTGACAATTAGTTTGACAGAATTGTAACTTTTTTAAAATTTTAAAAATAATAGTAGTTGGGTATCCAAAATATGAACTGTGATTTCATTTTTTTGCAGTGTTCTCATTACCTAGAATGGATATGGAATATATTTGTTCAGTTGAACGCAATAGCATACTTTTTCGTTTGGTAAACTGTGCGTAAATAAGCTAATATTCATGTGGGTGTAGAAAAAATTAGGAGTAAAAATATCTACATGCAAATAAAAAGAAAAAGAACAGTTTAATAAAAAAAAAGTTAAGTGAGAAAAATCGGTTAAGATCCGAAACACTGAAATGCAATTTTGGAAAATTCTCAATTCCCCTACGAAATTATTAAAATTACACCCCCATATCCCAAAAGTAAAAAGAAACCAAAGAAAAATTGAAAACGGTGAGAATTAAGGATAAGACTGAAAAAAAAGAAAAAAGTCGATGTACTCATTTTTCCTTCCCTTTATTTTAAACTTTTTCACTTTTTCTTTGATTTGTTCTTGCTTTGAAGATAAGAGGGTGTAATTTTCAATATTTTCATAGGGGTAATTAGGGATTTTTCATTTTTATATAGCCAAAATTGCATATATGTATTGTAGTTGAGACTTGGTGTTTTTTATTTTAAATATATTTTACATTACTTTGTCCACAGCTATTCTAAATATCGTTATTCTAATAACCAGAGTGGGGGTGTATCAATGTTTTAAGCAAGGACCTTCGGTAGCACAGAACCAGGGTTCGAATTCCATTAGATCCATAATAACATATTTAATTCTAATACCTAGATATATCCCAACAAACATTTTGTGTAGGGGAATAAAATTCCCAATAACCTTTTACCCTCAAATTATAATTAAATGACCGTCATATATAGGTCACTACGGCCGACAGTCTAGCCGAATTCACTTAGCCATCAAATTCAGTTAAAAGGTCTCCATTTTTCCTTTAATGTCTTACATGTATTGGAAATTAATAGTCTATTGTTGGGAAGTTAACAGGAAATTGCAAGGCTTTTACCTGACTGCTGAATAAAGGCCATGTGCCAGGCAAATAACCTAACAGACGATTCGATATTGCCTCTTTGACCAGTAGTACTGTTTGAAATATAAATTCTGTACTAAAACATTATCCAATATAGAATATTGTAGACATTTTATTTAATTCAACAATATAATATTAGACACAAAATGTCTTCTACAAAAAGTATATTCATAAAATAATTCTAAACTAACAGCATGTAAAAGTAAAGAATTACAATGAATACTGAATAGTGAATATCACAAATCCGAAACTGGCCGCATGGTACATGTCCATTCGTTGAGTATGTAGCAAGCTATCATCGGTGTCCCGATCTATTAATGTGGGACGGAGTCCTCCTAGATTCTTGGGGTTGAGTGTGTGTGGCAGATAAAAGCCTTTTGACTTTTACAATGTTTTTACACAATAGAGTTACTCTTCATAAGGCCAATATCAACATAACAACATAACAACATAATGTTGGGTTACTATCGAAAGGCCAAAAGTAGGCTTTTATCTTTTAATTGTCGCATTCATTTCCCCTTCAATTACTAGTACTGATACCACTGTGTCTAACATTTCTTCTAAAAACATTGGAGAAATTTATCGATAGATATACATATACGGGACGATGTTCTACGTGATGAACCGATACATCGATACCAGTTTGCCTACCAATCTGGAAACTTTTTCGATGCAGCCATGCATAAGCTAACTCAAAATTCTGAACAAGCATTGGAAGGCAAAAAAATAACACTAGATATAGAAGGAGCTTTTTATTCGGTTTCATACAATTCAATACTGGAATCTATGCATAGACGTGGCGTAGCACACTATATTACGCAGTTGATGACCTCTTATGGGAGTTAGAGGCAAAAACAAACACGCAAGCATTTGCAGACGACATACGCATTGTAGTAAACGGTAAATTTGGGACTGTTAATTCCGAAAGGATACAGCAGGCATTAAATATCGTCGAAAGATGGTGCCTAAAAAAAGGATTGTCCACAAACCTGACGAAAACCGCTGTTGTTGCATTCACAAGAAAAAGGAAACTTCAAAGAAAGTAGGATAAGGACAACATCTTAAAATGGAAAAGGAGGTTAAATAACTTGGAATCACTCTTGATTACCAGCTAACATTCTGCAGCCATATATACAAAGCTGTAACCATACGTCAAGAGTGAGATTTAGGTCCTTTTGACTGACTCTAAAGCCCACTCTTAGCGGTAACCACGGGTTATATAAAGGGGCCCAATTTGTAT